TCATTATGGTAGAAACTAAGACGTGACGCTGTTTGCAGCAGAAACTAGAAACGGCATGTAGTTATCTACTTTTTTTAATTATTATATACAGCAGAAACAAGAAACGGCATGTAGTTTAGTAGGAAACTTTCTACGGTTTTCTCGTTAAAAGTAATCGGAGATTGATTCTCTTATTCTTTTTGTCATCGCCGCCGTTAAAAGTCTTCGATTCTCTCGCCGGCGATCATGATCTACGTTGATGGAGTTCCATTTCAAAATGAGAGTAGCTCATCGACTTTATCTTCTTCATCGCAGGTAAATTTCTTCGTAGAGATTAAACCGGTGTATGTCCTGTAACATCGTCTCTCACGAATCTCTAATTTTAGTGGGTTTTAAACTAAGTACGATTTTGCTTATATGGTGGTAATGTGGTTCTAGAAATTTGGGTGATTCTGAAATTTCTACAAAAATTGGTTACAAAATTTGGCTAAAACCCGAAATTATTTTTGATGAATAGGGAAGCAGGTTGCTTCTTGATGTAATGAATCATCCTGTGATAATGTTAGCTTCTGATTCTTTCAAGAATCTTGAGGAAAGAAATGTTACTTTCGGAGAAAATGATTCAGAGAGTTCGACAAAAGACAGATATGTTTACATTTTCCAAAGAGAATATGCTGTTGTGAATCCAGAGCTTGTTGATGTATGTTGTTTTGTTTCACTCTACATTTCAAGTTTTCTTGTTTCTTTAATGAAATTTGTCCATTGTTTTTATTGAATGAGACAAGTTTGTTGGTACCGATGAAGCAACGACTTGCGTAGGACTTGTTATACGCAACAGAAAATCAGGAATGTAAGAAGGACTGATCCTATATATGTAAATTTCATAAGGTGCAATCACCTTTGATGTAAAATATTTGTTATTATGTGAAACTTCAGGACATCTATTGCGCACATGGATTCACCGAAAATTGTGGATTTGGGGATAAGCCAGATGTTATCATTGGTTTTAGAGGATGACGTTGATACCGAGTTAGATGTATTATCTCTATCTTTTGAATTACTAAGTGTCTTTGAGCTTATTTTAAAGTCTTTTTGACTATGTCAATGGCGTTTGTATGCAGGTACATATGGTTGGTGGTTATGAAGATGTCGACATAAAAGTGTGCATCAGTTTCTCTATATTTCTCAGTCTTGTTAGAATAGTTTTAAGCTGAATGTATCGACTGTTATATGCAGAATGCTAATGGTGGTGCTGACTATGCCAAACCAGAGGGTCACTCATTTCCTTTGTGTTGCAAATTAGTTGAAACTTTGCAGAAGAGAAGAGAAAGCTTTCACATTAAAACTCTCTTTATTCTTGGTCACAATACCAAGTTGGATGCACAAGCGAACACGTGCCCCGTTTTTAATGGATGCCTGGTTAGCCTAATTTCTCTGCTGTTTCCAACATGTACCTTATAGTATATTGTCTTGAGATTTTAGTGAGAAGTTGTATTAAATGGTTCTTTTATCAGGTGAATACCTCCACCGGTTCAATTTTCCCGGCAAGTTTCAACAGAACATCTAGATGCCCGGATGAGCTTGTTCGAAGAATTCGAGTTTCGGCATCATTCGAAGATTCTAGCTGGAAGGGAAAGTTACTCGATACATATGATACAAAAACTGACAGATTCATCATCGCACCATGCTGCTGGTAATTAAAAACCGCTTCTTCTGCCACAATTCTAGTTTCCCTCTTTGTGTATATTTCATTGACCTTTGTATATTTTCTTCCTCGCAAGATATAAAGTAATTTTACTAATGGAGTTTAAATTTATGTTTGTAATGCAGGACAATGCGACTAATTGAAATTGTTTGGGAACTTAATCAGCTTCCTGATGAAGAAATTCTCACTACGTGTTCTACCTCACCTTCTGCTGAAGGTCCAGATTTCATAGACGATCAAAGAAGGTTAGTCATCTTCAAGCTTCCTCTGGATTATTACCTATTACACAAAACTGAACATAATAGATTCATAAACAAACAGAAATGATTCAAATTATCTTATTATGTTTTTAGAATTTGGGAGTATTTACTAAAATATCCAGAATGGAGCAAGACTTTCCCAAGGAGACAACCTCGTGTGTTCGAGCGAACTGCCACTGGAAACTGGAGAAAATGCTGACTTTCTCACCTTAATCGTGACATTATCCAGAAATCTGGCTATAAACAATGGTAAGTGTACGTATTTGATTGAATTGTTTGCACTTTTTTTTGAAACAAATGTGATTCTTGTAACACACAAGGTTTTGATCCTTAACAAGTGTTGTAATATTACTGTGTGAAAACATGGGCCCGGATCCAGTTTGGTAGGCCTATATATTGAGGCCCATTAGTCTGAAACATTTCAATTGCAGATCGAATCCGTCGACTATGTTAACTATATATATTTTAAATCATATTTGAATATTTCTTCTAGTTAAACTATGTTAACTATATAAATTTATATAAGTTTTTTGGTAGATTATTTTAGTTCGGTATCTATGCCAAGATTGAATAATGATGCTTACACTAAAAGCATGGTTCGTAAACGTAGTCCGACCTAACTTTCACCAACAACATGATGCAAAAACGACATTCCATTTCTAGTAATCAAAGAAGGGCATTCTTGTAAATGTGTTAATTACATCCTTGTTTCCAAAAAACCAATGTTTTTAAAACCGTACCGGTGATCAGGAGAAACTTTTGGGTCATAGATCAATGTGGTCCGACCGGATCGAACCGGATTTAATAGTTTTAAAAAAAATAATAATATAAATAGTTTTTGTATAACTATAATATCCAAATATATAATATAGCCTTTGAATAAACATATTTTTAAAAATTAATCATGAAAAAATCATTTTAGTAACAAAAAAACTGTTCAAAAACAAAGTTTAATGAAAAATAATTAAGTTTATATGTAAAAAAAAAAATTAAAAACATTAAACCATAACAAAAATTAACTAAATTCAAAACTAGTATTTGTTTCTATAAATTTTAATCAT